TTTGAGATGGAGTCTTGCTCTGCTGCCCAGACTGGAGTGCCGTGGCATGAACTCGGCTCACTGCAACCTCTGCCTCCCAGGTTCAAGTGATTCTCCCACCTCAGCCTCCTGAGCAGCTGGGACTACAGGCACACGCCACCACACCCGGCTCATTTTTCTATTTTTAGTAGAGATGGGGTTTCACCATGTTGGCCAGGCTAGTCTCAAACTCCTGACCTTGTGATCCATCCTCCTCGGCCTCCCAAAGTGATCAGATTACAGGTGTGAGCCACCGCGCTGGCCCAAAATACCAACTTTTAAGGGAGCAGACAGAGGAAGAGAAGTCCAAGCTGACTTTAGTTGGAAACTAAAAGCAAAACATGGTGATAATATTGTCCTTCCATGATGGAATTATTCTTAGAATCACCGCCCTTGATCATTATACTTTTGAAGATCATTTAAATTTACTGTTTTGCAATATTCCCTTGACTAGAAAAGTAAATTCTACCTAGCACTATTATCAACCAAACTCAACTCATATCTGCCCTCTGAAGTCCTGCAGACAAACCTTTGAAGTTGGAAGCCAGCTGATGTGAACCAATTCAGCTGTCTTCTTGGATTAGAGGTTCCCAGTTCCTCCAACAGTTTGTCTTATGATGATTTTCAGCCTTCATTTCTAGCAGTCATCTCCTGGACATACTACAATTTGCCCACAAGCATAGCAAGCCATCCTCTGGAATTATTAGAATATTTGTGCACAGGACACTAGAATTATCACATTTCTTGTTTTGGAGACTACGCTTTTATTAATGCAGCCTAAAATTAAGTTTACAAGCAGCAACATTAAACTATTAGCTGTTTGAATACATAGCTAAAATGTACTGCCTCCTCCCCCAACATAAATATGTAGCCAACTCTTCTCCCCCCAACCTGTACTTTCCTTTTTTTTTTTTTTTCTGAGACAGAGTCTCACTCTGTCGCCCAGGCTGGAGGGCTGTGGCCGGATCTCAGCTCACTGCAACCTCCGCCTCCCGGGTTTATGCCATTCTCCTGCCTCAGCCTCCTGAGTAGCTGGGACTACAGACGCCTGTCACCTCGCCCGGCTAGTTTTTTGTATTTTTTAGTAGAGACGGGGTTTCACCGTGTTAGCCAGGATGGTCTCGATCTCCTGACCTCGTGATCTGCCCGTCTCGGCCTCCCAAAGTGCTGGGATTACAGGCTTGAGCCACTGCGCCCAGCCCCCAACCTGTACTTTTCCAATTGATTTTTGTTTAGCTTAATTGTAGGTTTCACATTTCTGCTTTTTTCTTTTACTCATATGAAAACCTTTGGCCCTTTCATCATGGGGCATAAAACGGCCAAGACACCTGATAATAGAAAAAAAAAATCATAGACAAACATGTAGCAACCATCAGACCATGGTGAATGTAAAGAATAGACCCTCATGAGGCCGGGCGCCGTGGTTTACACCTGTAATCCCAGCACTTTGGGAGGCCGAGGTGGGTGAATCACCTGAGGTCAGGAGTTCGAGACCAGCCTGGCCAACATATTGAAACCCTGCCTCTACTAAAAACACAAAAAATAGCCAGGCATCGTGGCACACACCTGTAATCCCAGCTACTTGGCTGGCTGAGGCACAATTTTTTGAACCTGGGAGGCGGAGGTTGCAGTGAGCCAAGATTGCGCCATTGTACTCTAGCCTGGCCACAGAACAAGACTCCATCTCAAAACACAAACAAACAAAAAAGAATAGACCTTCATCAGACTCCAGGCCTCTGGAGAATATTCTGATCCAGCTACAAGCTTCTGGTTCTATTGTCAATGTCCAATCTTAGTAAGAAAACGGATTAAAGATAGGACATGTGGCAGCCATTGCCTGATTGGTTAATTCTTTTTCTTGAATTGCTTGCTTATTGATTAGAACTGTTTTCCCATTCCCCTCTGAAATCTCTAAATGATGGAAAAGTTCGAGTTCCTTCAGTGACACAGGACAGGGGCTCAGTCAAACCCTGGAATGATTCTCAGTCAAATGTGAAGCAAAGAGAAAAATTCTTACACACTTAGGAAAGACATGGCATAAAAGTCAACCTCAGAAAGACAGGTAACATTACCATATGGTACCTCCAGCAGAAAGACAGGTAGCATTGCCATATGGTACCTCCAGCTGAAGGCGGAGAACATGAACTCATAAAGGAGGCCATCTGCTCAGTTCTGTGCAGAGGAAGGCTTGCCATGTCCACTGTTAAGCCAAGGTTATCAGATTGGTTCTCTATAGTTCCCACATCCTTGTGCATCTTCCTACCTGTGCCCTATTAATGGACAGGCGCTGTTTGATGCATTTGCTGAAGCCAAAACTGCTTGGGTTTGGGTTCTGGCTCCACAATTTACTGGTACCTGTGGCCTTCAGGAAACAACCTGTCTATAAAATGAAGTTAATAATAGTACATATCTGAGCTGTGAGCAAAAATCTTAATACCTATAAATTACTCAGAGCAGAGCCAAGCACATACAATGGACTCAGTAACTGTTAAGATACTATTTCTTCAGTGTTCCTTGGCTCCAACTCATTTCTAACACAGTTTGTAAAGGTCCTCTATTGCTTGTTTGGCTTCCCCAGCGTAGACAAATCTGGGCTGAGTTGTTAGCACGTAGATGGGTGAAGACTTCTTAAGAAAACAGTGTTAAGGTTGTAGGCCACATGGTAAAACATAATTGTTATGGTCCCAAATTTCTACTGATTGGGAAGACAAGGCAACTTCCTCCTGCATACACTTTATTCACACATGCTAAATCTCACTAAACAGATCACACTGTCAGGGAAGATGGCTAAGGAGAAGCTAGGATTGTCAAGGTAATCCTTGCTTCCGCCGTGTTTTGCAACAAGGTAATAAACAGCCAGAACAGACTAGGGTGAAGCAGGTAAGGGTGAGGAGAGAACGCAGTGCAGTGCAGGGGGTTGAAGGCAGCTCACAGTCAGGGAGGCAGCAGTTCTAGCCAATCAACACTTTATTTTTCAAGTCAACACCTGCACAGATGTTACTGTCCACTTCCTGACCCTAGCAGGGGGTCCCACTACACTTGGATCACCCAGAGGAGCAGTAAAGAAGCTCCTCATCTCAAGACAGAGCGCATGCTCACCAACTCCAGTGCTGGCGCATGTACTGTCGGATCCCTGCTCTCCTGCATCATGAAAGGCCGGGCTGAATGGGGCAAGGATGCAGTGAAGGTTACACAGACTATAGTGACTTAACAGTGTAACTACTGGCCTGACCCACTGCCCCACGTTTACTTTTTACTTCCCAGACCAGGAGCCTCCCTAAAGCTTGGCCAGTGCCCATGGGATAGGAGGAGCTGGCAAAGGATGGGGTTGAGCTGCTAAGGACAGGACACAGCAGGGAAATAAAGCAGAAAGGAACACAAGAGAGAAAAATTATAAAGTGCCTTAACTAAACAACCAAGTGGGACATGAGGGCACAGCAGCACAGGTCCCTGAGGATAGGAGGAAAAAGAAAGGGCCAGACCACCAGGGCTTGGGGCATAGTGGAATGAGAATAGAGATGAGGCAGGGAGGCAAGCACAGGCTGTGGGAAGGAGTTCCCTAGCCCTGTTCACATCCACTAACCCAAATGGAAAATTATTTACAAATTTAAAACCAATCCTAGGCACAGGTACTGCACCATGCCCCCAGGACAGCAAGCAGGCAGGCAGGCAGAGGGTGGAATGGCTACCATCCGACAGCCAGCTTCCCCACGCACTGCCCCTCCCCAGAGTGGTAGGCAAAGGAGGGAACAGCAACACTCCTAGCCAGGAAGCCCTACTGTGCCTGCAGCTCCTTCCCCAGTGGCTCATGGCTCTGCCACGGCCTGAGCTTCTTGGTCTGACTGTACCAGAGAATGGGTGTCGGGCCCCAGGGGTGGAGCATCAGGGGGTTTTGGAGGTGTCTCTGGCTCCAAGCCCAGCTCTGCATTCAGCTGCTCCAGCTCCCCCTGATCCAGCAACTCAAAGTCCTCAGTGGTGAGTGCCTCTTCTTCCTCAGGGGCAGGCAGGGGCTGGGGTGAGTCCTGGGGAATAGGTGGGAGAATGGAAGGGGAGGGGGCCGGGTCACTTCCAGCAAGGCAAAGTGGAGGTGACAGGGTGCTGGGCAGAGCAGTGAGACCACCACTCACTGCCTCGGGGCTCAGTGTCTCCACTGGTCCTCCAGGGGAGCATTTCACTCCATCTTGGGGGGACCCTGCCCCATTGAAGTGCGTGTTCACAAAGTGGAGGGGGGATGAGAGCCGAAGCAAGGTTTCCTTAGCTGCCACATCTTCTTCCTCTTCCTCTGAGTCCAGGGCTTGCCTTGACAAGGCTTGAGGACGGCCCAGTAGGTCTTCGGGAGGGGCCAGCTCTGCCTCCTCTCCCTCCCCTAGGTCCCGGCTTAGGGTCTCCTCTGGTTCACTTGGCAGGCTCTGCTGGTCCAAATCTGTGCAAAGAACAAAGAACTAAGGATGGGCCTGCTGCTGCTCTGATTAGCCACAACAGCCAATGAGTTTAAGGATGAGAATTCAAGACATGGAAAGCTGGGCCAAGCCCTAGGTGTTAAGGTCTTTTAGGAGCTGAGTAGAATTAGAGTCAGTGGGCCAAAGAGCACAGCAAGTACCCATGGTAGGTAACACAAAGATTGTGGGGGGGTGCAGCAGGGCAACAAAGGGCTACCCGTACCCTCGGAGACATCAGTCAGCTGCGGAGTTGTGGCCCGGGATACGGAGAAGCCACCACTCTCCAAGATAGAAGCCTCCTCATCTGACAGCTCTGAGTCTGTAATGGCCAAGGCCAATGCTGTTTTCTTCACATCCACCTGGCAGGAGAACCAGGATGAACACGACATGTGAGGGGCTAAGAGAACCAATTTATCAGGAGCATCCCCTCTCCCAAAACCTCTGGCTTCCACATCCTTTGGAGGTGGCAGCTCCAAAGCAGAAATATTTTTCCTCTGGCTTTCTGTTTGATACCCCGTCTTCCCTGGACCTCACCACTGGGGAGAAGCCAGCCAGCTCTGCCTCGCTTTCGCTCTCTGTCTCTGCCAGTGGCTCATCACCTCCTGGGGGTGCATTCTTCCCTTGCCGCTCTAGAAAAGCAAGAGTAGTAGAGCAGTGACCAAGCATGAATGATGGGAGGGGAGACAAATACAGTTAAAGAACTGGAGAAGATCTCAATTCCAGGGCATCGCATGAGCCCCAAACCAAGGCCCTCCCGCTCTTTCACCCTCCTGGATTAGGGCAGCCCCTTACTCCTCTTGTCGTGTTTGTGATGCAGGGCATTGGCTTCTGCCTTCATGCTGTAGTCCAGCTGCATGAGCAGGGGCTCCAGGCGAGTGTACATCCTCTGGATCAGCTCATGATAAACCACCAGGGGCCACAGCAGGATACTCAACACTATGGGTTAAGAATGTCAACTAAGAGCTCCCTACGTCAATTTCCTAAGAGCCCCCATTCAGCTGGTCCCTAAACTGAAGTGCTGAAGGTAGGCAAGGTCCTTTCCCAAGTCAGTGCCAACCTCTTCTTGCCACATCCACTGCCCTCCTCCCCAGGTTAAGTCTTCCACAGTTACTAATACTAAAGAATCCCTGGAGATCTCCACAAATCAGAAACTGAGCAGAGACCATAGTCTTTCCTCTGGGTCAGTCCAAGGAAAGAAGAAAGCAGAGGGCTTTAAATAGGGCAGGGACAGACCCTACTCACAGACAATGTAGGAAATCATAATCCCTGGAACATAGTGTCCCAGCACAGCCAACACAGCACAGCCAGAGCAGACTCGAACACAGAACTGCAGAGAAGAGCACAAGTCTAAGAACAGCACACTGAGATATGCGCCCTGCTCAGCAGGGTAAAAAACTACTGCTCAGCTGGTAGGATAGGTATGTCCTCGAGGAATGGGGTGGTCCAGTTTGCTTAAGAGGATGCTCAAGACCACCAATTCAGGAAGCTGCCAATAGATAGTACCCACCACCTGTAATTCACACTTGTCTGCCTTGGCAGGAGAAAAGCGTCAGGCTATCAGAAGCTTATTTCCTGAGGTGAGACTGCCTCCTGCAAGAGGGACTAGCTGTGAATGTTGCCTCAAAAAGGCGCCCAGGCCTCTTCTTTCAGGGTCTTAAACCCGGGAATTTACATCGCTCCACTCCCATTCCCCGCCACCTCTATACCCCTTCAGTGTAGTGAACTGTTATATGATGTAGGGGAGGTTACCTGAGCTGGATTCTGCCTCTTGTACTGCAGCAGCTCCTGCAGGTGAATCTGGAAGGTGAGCCAGCTCTCAGCCAGGTATCTGCACAACTCGGGCACACTCAGCAGGTGCGGCCGGGCGCCTGACCCCGCACCCTCACTGGGGAGACATGACATAACCCCTGGAGGCCTCAGATACCAGATTCCTAGACACTTAAATCCCTCTGAGAATGCCAATGATATCTTTAGTCTAAAAAAGTAAACAACCCCACCTCCCAAAAGGAGGCTGTCCTGGTCTTAGGAAGCAAAGCCAGGAGGACCCAACCCTCTGCCCCAAAAGGAGCAGGCACAAAACCACCTACACAGGTGCCTAGGACCATGAAAAACCCATGGCTTGTTACCAGTTCATTCACAATGCTGGGGCACTGCCCTGCTCCTTGGTGACACCGGCACCGGCAAGCAGGACAGGATGTGGGCATTTGTCTTCAAGAGGTGGCCTGTACTCACCTGTCAGAGTGTGACTCCTCTGGGGATGATGCTAGAGAG